TACCGACCTATTATTGTAGTTTTTAACACGTATTTTGTTAATTATGTATTAATTAACACGTCAGAGTATATTGTAACACTAGCTAGGTAAACATAAATTTGTTATATGAACAATTATATGGTAAACTTTTTTACCAGACGACATAGACAAATATTTTACATAATATTTAAATCGATTAACATATCATTATTACAAAGAACCAAGACAGTTCTATCTCAATGAAATCATTATACGTTAGTTCATCTGAGATTATTGATATAAACTCTGTGATAGGAAATGAAATATTTTCCTCACAATATCAAGTTTAATAAACATACTACATGAATTGAGATTTTCAGCAATTGAGAGATGAGAAGTTATGAAGTACGGGTTCTTACCTGATTTGTACGTAATAATAAGTGTGAATTTATTAGATTTGTTAAGTCTACGTAATCTACCTTTAAAAATCTGCCACATAACTCACCACCTATTTTATTCAGAAATTCTTGAACATCGACTATATATGTGATGTTAATATTTTTGACACTGTTCTCCAAACCATAAATAACGATATTGTCTGACCATGAAACTGTCCTACGCATATAAACAAGAGGGAAAGTTAGTTCACTGTGACATGTTGTATTTAAAAAAAATTTAATTAAAAATTGTTTGTCCAATGTGTCAAATCAGGATAGAGACAATCAGTGAACAAGAGTTAGCAAGTTAACTAAAGCAGTCATCAACGTGATAAGATCTAATTCACAGTGCACATCTGAACTAAGAGATCCTTGGTGCTTTTTAACTCAGCAGCATAAAAGAAAACATTACCACTTTTTGTGTTTGCGCACAGTACAAAATCTACTAGTATTCCTACTAAATAATATATTCTTTCATTGATAGGCAAGAGGAGACCAAACAGTAGGCGAAGTCCAAGACGTGGACGCTAAAGAATTCGGAATTTGATTGTAAATGATCTACTATTGGATCAAAACTTTGAACAGCTGTTAGGATAAGAAGCTCGATTTTCTCAAATAAATTTATTTTTACTAGTATTTTCTGAAATATACCAGTTGACCATGGTTTTAGTGAACCAAGAATATTTGTCTCATATATACAGCGTTCCAAGTCATCTTCAGCATTCTCTTACTACCGAATCAAATAATATTTGCGAAATTACGCCATTCAGGAAACTATGTACCAAAACACCACTTTCTTCAAGTAAAGCTTAATATTTGTGCTATAAGGGAATTATGAAACGAACTACTTATTATCAATATGAGGTACAATAAAAACAGTCTCTCCTGTTCGGCGTGAAATGTCTTGTAAAGAAGAAGAAGAAAAATGGTTCAGCAAATCTTGGGATTGTGGCTAACAATAGTCAAGCACAATCGGTGTTTCGTGACTCATCAGATAGATAAACGTGGGTTGGAGTTCGTGTTCACACTAAGACCGGTAATCAATATCTTTCACTTCAAACGTCAGCTAAGCTATTGAGTTCAGATAACCACTAAATTTTTCATCAGGAATGAAGTTACTATTAACCAGTCAACTTTAGTTCTGAATGCTAAAACCGAGAAAATACAAAACCGTAAAAGTAAAAAAGTGTTTATTAATTTTACATATGATCATTAAGTCACTAGCAGTCTTCGTAGACACTGGAATTCAAGTTGCATTTAGTCAACTAAATATTCAAAGAAATCACATCAGGCACGAAGTTACTAAAAAAAGCATTCCCATACTTTCTAATACAAGGGCCATGTATATCTATGTAGTCGAAACTAAAAACCCGACCTTGTAGAAAACACTATCAATTCGCCAACCTCTCACCAGTCGCTGCAGTTTTATCAGTCAATAACTCAATCAAAATGACAAGTAAATATTTTGGGACTAACATTTACTTCAGTAATTGAAAACGATATCATAGTACTGAAGACTCAAGGAAAATTATGTATGTCATACTTATCCATGTAAATCATTCTAACACGTGGTTCGGCAATCAATTTTCGGTTAGTTGGTTTGTGGGAATTTATTTCATATGAGGACAGTTGTTATAATATAATGACACCAAATGAATGACTGGCTAGATACTTTGTTCCGGTCCGACATTCTTAATTAGTGCTCACTCATGACCACACAGAAAATCTGACTGTCTACAATGAAGTCTCACTATCTCGTTGAGGCAAACAGTTGAGATCCTTAGGTCAACATTCCCGACTTCAACTAGATTTTGATGTGTCATAATCATCATCTGATGCCATCCATATTCTGTTGTCCATCTCAGAGGTGCCTTGTTCGCTATGAACTCTGAGCATTCCATGTTCCAGTGAGTATAGAAACGTGAGTGTATGTTTGTGGCATTAGATTGAAACCACTGTTCATTACTTTCTGGTTAACAATGAAATCAATTTTTAGTGAGACGTGGTGTTCAGGTTACACGAAAATTCCCACAAAACCATATCAGTAATTAATTTGGTTATTGTTCGGAACAATATGTTCTATTCGTAGTCGATGAATTATGTATTTACTAAGATATATGATACCAGTTTACCATAATCACCAATCGTCATTTTCTAATTAGTGTTTCTTACGCGCTCACGTAATCGTCTGTATTAATTATTATTTCCTCACTAACGAACGCTTGCATTTCAAACACACGGATAATGATTTAGATTGCTTCAAATGTATGCACAACAACTATCTGTAAATTGATTCAACTCTACCATGGTTATCGGAAAACTCCTGATATTCTAAGATCAAAAATATACACAGTAATCGTTAATTCTAATATATTGGTTATAAATCTAATCGCTTCATGATACTTATACTTCAGAATACTTTTATTTTGTCAACAAACAACACTATAGTTTTCGTACATTCTAAATCAAAATTAGGAGAGGATTTTCATTAATTGACCATTTAAATGTAGACACTATCTAAGGCGTATCGAACTCATGAAGATTTTTCCATTGAGATACTGACATGCACTATTTATCACTAAAACTAACTTTTACTTGCTTCATAACCAGAGTTAAAAATATCTTTTCCGCCAGTTTATTCTAACAGAGAATCCCTTCGTTCTGTATCATTCATAACATAGATTCTGAATTTGAGTGGATTAAGTGACTTTTGCCTCTCTGAAGTTCATATATGAAATCGCTTTCCAACAAAATGTGCATTTTATATGTCAATTTTTTTAACTATGATGATTATACTCTGGAAATGACGAAGTGAATGTATGTCAACTTGAATTGTTCGTTCAGGCTACTTTCCGATTATATTTCTATTAGCCACATATATATAAAGACAATGATTAGTCATTGATGAGAAGCCATAAAATGATTCTTGAGAGCTAGAATCCAGGAATCATGTTTCTAAGAGAACCCCGGTGTTTCCACATATGTGCTAATTTCACAAAATTAGCGTTGTTAATTATATCAAGTTCATTATACAGAAGAGGTTTGAATACAAGCGTTTAAACTTTACGATATAATGCATATTCCCGGTTGCTTGAATATATACAGGTTGTCCAGGTGTTTAGTGTTCCAAGAAATGTAATTGAACCTTAGTAATTCATTGAGCAGGCAAGGTACTGAGCTTCGAAATCGACCGATCCTCATCAAGGTGAAGAACAATCGACGTCTACTTCTTTTACGAGTTAATACTAGTATATTTAGTAGCCTATTGGGTGTATTTACTCAAGCTACGTAGAAGGTCAGTTTACTTGGCAACCATGATGGTAAAATACAGGATAAGTACTAAGTGCAACTTCAACGTAAGCACGGTGGGACTATTTCCGTCTCACTAGATTAGACTGCATTCACATAGATCACATAAATTATTGACCAATATTCTTATTTATAAGCGTTCTAAACCGTCTTTCCGTTAATTTTGTTGTGGAACCAAGTTACATCTGTACAATTGCGCAAATCATTTTATTTCAATAGAAATTGTGTGCTATAAATTTCGCTTTCTCCAGGAAAAAGTTCATATTTTTGCTACCATGAACTTCAATACTAAGCACTTGAAGTCTATTTTGTCTGATTGTGAACCGATCGGGAAATGTAGCAAATTAAAACATCTTGTTAACCAGCACTATTGATCTGTTATGTTTGAAGAGATCACAAGATTAATTGAAATCGGCGAAACGGAACGAAGGATCAGCAACGCAACGACAAGACAAACTCAACTATTTCGATGTGGGGGAAAATGTATATTCCATAAGCAGCGAGAAGCACCAACAAACAAGCACACAACTCAAGCCTATATATACAGTACAAAAAGGTCCTAAGGAAACGTCACAAAGTAACGTACTAAAAGAGGAAACGAATCAATGACATTTAGGGTCCTTCCGAATGGGAAATACAAACCGAAGGTAATAGTGGGCGCTTTAGGCGCAAAACTTTCCAGAGTAAAATTACAAAAATAAGACGTTTACCAAGTGGTTTCTGGGAATCTAGCATCCCCAACAATTATATAAATAAATTACTGTCATTTGCATTCCATAAATGTTTACTGTATTTTCGATGACACTGCAGCCGGCAGTGGGTTATAATATGAATTATTCATGAACTAGTTGCATCAGTTCCGTTGCGTATTATTGCAGTTAAAAAACTGAGACTGTTCTTATGCATTCTCCTTCTATACTTGATCTTTTCTACTGCTCTGGCATTGGTTTAGATAATTGTATTCTACTGTGCTAGTACTGCATGATAACTTGAATAAATGCAAATATGCCAGGTTTTAAGTTGTATATGAATCAACTAAAAATGATTCAGTTATCCAATCAAATCTCGTCACAGAAATTTGTTTTATTCACCTGACTGTATACATAAGAAAAAATGACTGATGTACTTATAGCATCGGTAGATATTTTAAATCATGACAGTCAGGTGGTTCTGATAATTTGAAACACTAATTTTCCTACCATCAAAATTTAAAGTGGGTTCTTGAACCATGTCAAGTTATTTAGTCATTACTGAGTTAATTCCAAAACCAAGTATGAAAGAGTAAGAACAGAAAAAAAAACGAGTAAAATCATTTTAACAGCATTAAGTTAATCACATTATCATTGAAAATCATTTTTAAAAGAAAAAACGAACACTAACCAATTTGACAATACAATTGAAAATGACTATTTCATTCATTTCATTAATATTAGCGCGAAAAACTTCTAATATACATATATGTATATGCACATTAAATATGCATTCATAATGTATGAATTAAAAGAACATTTAAAATTAAATAATATACCCGGTGAATCATTTTCGACATTATATTAATCATTGATATCAACATCTATGTGTCAAAGTATTAACCACAAAGATATCTGATAAATAAACAATATATATTTCGTCGCCCAATTTTTGTACATAAACAGAGAGGAAGGTTTATTACAATTACAACCTGATGTATACTAACTCCGGCACTAATTGTATATACCAATGTGTGAAATATTAACCAAAATAAAAATGTACTGTAGATGTTCCAAATCCAGGAAAGACTTGAGTAAACAAATTGTGAGCGGATACATTTCCTTTGGAAAAAGACATTAAAAATCAATAGAACTTTCAAAAACGGTTACAGTTATGAATAGATAGGATCTAGTAAAATGAAATTAATAATCTACAAAACTTGGAACATTGTATTGTCCAACTAATATACAACAAAACTTGAAAAAATGATGAGCTGTCTTAATTGATTGGATTGTGTGTAAACTATGAAGTTGATTATCTCCAGTCGCCTATAACATGCAACTAAATTTTTGGGAGCAACTATTTAGTATTCGTTTTATTTCAGTGTTACATTATGTTAGTTTATTTTGAACTTTATTCAGTATCATACACAGTATTCATTCTGTGAAACAATCTATTTTGGTATTCCCCCTATCTAAGTTATGTGTTACATGCATTAACTAATCATCAGATATCAGTAAAACTGATGAGCCTATTGTGATTTACAAGATCTTCGTATTTTGGAGGGTGTATAGAAAATCTGCTTTTATCATCAGTTTTTTTTCTTTTCCGTATATATTGTACGAATTTCAGCGCATCATGTAGTAAGTACCTGTTTTCCACAGTCGTATCAAAAACAATAAACTCAATTTATCTTTAGATTTATTGATTAACTGTTGGAATAAAGTGTGAAGAGATACTTTCTTATGAATAATTTATTATAATCTAAGACGTGCACATTCACATGACATGGTTTATATCATGATAGACTGTTTATAAACATTCATAGAAATATTCTATTTACTGTCCACGTGGAGGTAGTAATTTATAAATTGACGACTCAAATTAATATGTAGGCTTTAGAAAAAAAAGTATGCGATTCCGATTCAAGATACAGAATATTACAGGTCAGACTACTAGTTTGTTTAATGTATCAAATGATAAGTAAACTTATTGATTATATTGTTGTATTGTAAGTGAGAGAATGACTTAGTGTTGGCCTTACTCTATAGGACAAAAAGAAAATAATAAAAGGATGGATACAAATCCGAAAATTAACAATTAGCAATGTGATGGCAGATTGCTTTATTTTGAGAACAAGATAACCAAGATTATTTCAAGGTTGTATCGCTTTGGTTATTTATAAACGAATCCCAAAGGATGAACAAATTATTCAGTAATTTATCCAGACCAGTTTGTGCAAGCTTCGTTCTATTTTTTCTTCTTTACGAATAAGACGGGTTTGCTTAGATGCCTTTACAGAAGGTGTAGTTTAAGAAAAATAGGCGGACAAATTCTGATTAAATACAGAAAATGAAATTGACTAGGGGAGTAGCAGAAAGTGGTTTAGTTTGTTGGATTACTTAGTTTAAAGGGAAGTTTAACAGAGTGTAAAGCTGTGTTCATTCATCATTGTGTTACCAAATAAAAATCCCATTATTAACTTTACTAAGATCTAACATCTAGTAAATCATCTTTTTAAACTTACCATTTTAAAAGTGGACAAACATTAAGAAATAAGGTGTGAAGATAAACTAGTTCATTGAAAAAATTCATTGGTGAGCGACAAATGTAAAAATAAGCGTAAAAGGTCTCATTTTGAAATGTATTATAGATTGTAAACTGCATATAAAAACGAAATGAAGCCGTGAAGGATACAATAAGTTGTAAGAGTACCGTTGCAGAGTTATTGTTTTCATCTGTAAACTACAAGACATTTGTAACTGTCAGTTTTATTCTAGCTACTACTGGAACAAGAAACGATAGTAGACAATAGCGACTTACAGACAACTGATATACAATGTAGCAATTAGTAGGATTACATGACTCAACAATGAATCACAGAAAAATTCAATTTACCTTGACCAAAAGCATCATCTCCCGACAGTTCACCATTATCATATTGACGACGTTTTACAGGATCTGATAATATACTGTAAGCTTCTCCAATCTCTTTAAACTTCCGTTCCTTTTCTTTTACAGTAGCTTCATCGGCACTTGTATGACGATCTAGAATTGTATACGAAAAGAAAGGGATGTCAATGAATTCATTATTTATCCATGCTGTGTCGGTTAATATATTAAATTAATCACCAAACTGTTATGTTCGAAAAGTGTAACTTTTCAAATATGTGTAAAATGTCCGCTAACAGAGCTAATGGAATTTTGATGATTGTGACTATGATGGGTTTTCATTTAAATCTATAAGTAATAATTGATTTTGATAAATATGAATGGAAAATTTTAATCGCTACAGTTATCATTAAATGTTACATGTAAAATGACAAAATGGAATAACGCATATATAAAATGAATCAGTCAGTCAGTTACAACGTAGGACCAGGCACATATATGCATCGGTCCAGGTTGCCATACCTCATTAGCACAGCAAGATGAACACCGGATTCATAGGACTGGTTAGGTCAAAGGTGGTAATATATAGGAGAAAGATTGCATATAAGGATACAGTAAAGGAGGAAAGAATTAGTTAGTAAAAAGAAAGATGTGAAGTGATTTTAATCTCTTAGTTTAAGGGAAGACAGGGAGTGTATACATCGACGCCATTGTGATCGATTCTGAGCCATGTCACCAAGAGTCTCCAATCATCGGTTACGAAAGTCACGCGGATCCCATATAAAATGAATGGAAAATGAGACAATCGTAATGATCATAGAGAATGAAAATAATCACACACGGAGATTTTGAATTCTTACTAGGCGAATCTAATGGTCAATCACAACAATGACATTTCTACCATAGATGCGATTAGAGTAGTTAACAAAATCTGAGTTATTGGATCCGTTTTAATACCGTAAACATTATTAAACCTTAGTATCTGTTAGCGGGACATAGACTGGATTAAAGCATCCTCAATGCACGATTGCTTTGGTGCACGCTGATTGGCTAATTCTTGTCCAATCAACACTAGTCAATACTTGGAGAACACTCTAGAATCTTCTCGTGTAAAAACTATAGATATACTAACGTTTTTCCTATTGTGCTTCTTACTTGCATCTTACTTCCATCTAACCTTGTTATTTGGAATATAATCTTTTTTCCTGTTCAACCATGTTCTGATTTGGGGACTTGTCGAGTGAACCGGTGTCCGAGAATACTAAGCAATAGGAATAGCTGGGTCATAACCGTAAGAAAGAGATTATAACAGTATCGTTTATGAAGTGATGTTGCTGTATGCATCTAACGGTAGAAAAAGTAGCGATATAAGTTACGGATGTTCACGATTTCTAATGACAAAATATTGCATAGAACCGTCTAAAAGGGGGACATACACAGGAAGGTCTGAGTCATGAAGATGCCATGTGACGAACTAGTCCAAAATCTATTTCTAACCAAGCTATCCTAGAAACCTAATCACATGGTCCATATAAATGTTGCGTAGGAAAGGCATAATAAAAGTTCTTTAAACTACGAACAATAATAAACTTTATAAAGCATTCACCTTCAATACTATGATTAAGTTTATTCGGATCCTTGATATAAGTGTTAAAGAATGAACTTATCACTTGTTTTGAAAAAAAAGAATATGACCTTTAATTTATAACATGATTAACTGAAACAATCACTAACTAACTGGTGATGTTAAAGATATTTAAAACAGAATAGCGAATAATCCAACTATTATATATTAATGAATTGATATTATACAAAACAGAGATTACATAGAGTTAGTAGAATGTAGAACAAGGTACATTATTAATGATAAAATCAAATCGATAACCGTTAATTGGGAAAAATAAAATATCGAAATAAAAGTATAAATGTTACATTAAAATTAATTAAGTTAGAAATACTTCTAGTTTTTATTCTATGATGAGAACTAATTGTTAATAGATGAGTTACCATAATCTCACAGCATGAAAGGCTAATAGATTTTAAATCTCAGTAGATAGGGATTTTAAATATATATTGTTTGCTAGTGAAAGTTAAACAAAAATATAATGAAGTGTTAACCAGATATTTTTAAAGGTATCTTGAGTGTAATAATAAGTTAAGATCAAGCGGTAAATTACAGAAAACCACATAGATGATGTACGTAATGTGAATATAAAGATATTTATATGTATGATTGTAAATTGTGTTTATTCTCTAAATGCACAAATCGATCTTCCAGATTTAAAAATTCCTTTATTAGAAAGATATTAAATTTACTAGCCTTAAAGCTGTTTGTTAAGATTCCATAGGCGTTTATATTTTGTTAATCTATCTGTAACAGACAAATCCTAAGCTGTTAAGTATAAATTTCCTTGATATTTATAATTATATTTCATCGATTTTGTAGGATTCTTTAAAACACATCAAATCGCTAAATATAGGCAAAATTGTTGACAAACAAATATCTAGCTATCAATTGACTTTTTCATAAACAGCTAATGTAAAGAATGTGATCGCATACAATTGTCGTCGAAGTCCATTGAGTATAGAAGATAAGTCAACTGCCTTACTTTGTTTTAGTGAAATTAGTTTGAACAAAATGTCAGTAAAAATTAGTAATATATATTTGAAATTATTTAGTATCACCATTTTAGTTAAGCCAATTTATTGAGTACACGATCCAAATGTAAGCAATTTGAAAACTAAAAACTGGTCAGAAATTGCACAAACTGGATAAACTTAGCAAGAAAAAAAAACTAAGTCAACAGGGTATTGAAACAAGAAAAATTTTGAAGAAAACAGGCAATAAATAATTACTTGCTTTCATTCAAAAAAATCTTACGAGTTGTATCCACTAAAAAAGGACTATAAATGTTATAAGAAAGGTTTTTAATTGAACTAGAAAACACCACCTAAAATATGATCTCAAAAAAGGATTATTCTCATGAATTCAGAATATGATTTCGAAATACATATGTATAACAATACTTGAATGTTCTATAATTGATTGTAACTCTGAAGGATTCTGATTTTTATGAACTACAACATTAGAAATATATGAGTCCCATGTAAGTCACATAAATTACTCGATGAAGTAAACTGTTTGAATAAAATGCATACCTACCTAGTTTGAATTAAGCTGTAGTATAAAGATTTAAGTACGTCACCATTAATTAGTGATGGACGAGTTCAAGATGTACATCATCAATTAAAGTGGGAGTAGCAGGGTAGATAGGCTCATTATTACACGTAAAATAGTCTAGAACAATACCTCGTATGTAGCATAAAATAAATAATATACATGAATTAGGCAAGTTAAAATCCCATACCTGGATGATATAAAAGTGCACTTTTTCTATACGCTTGTTTTATATCATCGGAAGAGGCATTCTTTTTCAAACCAAGTATTTTATAGTAATCACGTTGAGACACGGAAAGAGCAGACTTAGCAGCTTGTAAAGATTTTTTATTTTCTTGTGATCCGTCTAATTTTACTACTGCAGTCCATTCCTCAACTGCTTTTTCATATTCTTCAAGAGATGAATAACTGCATAAAGAATAATTATATACACAATATAGAACAAATTTATGTTTTCAAAGTGATTATTTCCGTGAAATAAAGGTATTACAATTCAAAGTCTACTAAACAAAAACAGTGATAATCATGACAGTAACGGAAATAAATAAAAAGAAATTTGTTAATGACTAAACTTATGTAACAATCAAACATGAAATGGATGAAAATTCATTACAAGTTAGAGTTCTAGTTAATGAAGTCAGATATTATTGGCGATAAATTCACTAAATAAAATATACCAAATTATGTCAAATTCAAGTAGACTTTTCTACAATTTTATGCTATCGGATCTTATTTTTACTTAATGAACTATAAACTGCTACTGTTAGATAGGAAAAAGACTAGTTCCTATGAATATATTTATGACGTTAAATAAAGTGAAGATAGTAGAATGCTCTGACAAACAACACTTAAAGTTGGTATATCCGACAACAATTCCCGATAATCTCTGACTTAAACGATAGTGTTTGGTCGATAGCTCACTTGTCTTGGCACGAAATTATTTGCCACTATGAATTAAGAGTTCAAATACATTCTATCTAATCAGACTTGTAAACCTTGGCATTATCTTTTGCCGTTAACTAATAAATATCACTAGAAACTAGAAACATGAGTCTATTAATTATTAGTGAGCTAGACAAAATCAGAGTAAACAGTGTTTAGCAGTACAGATAGGAAAATGTAAGTAGATGTGAGAAATTTAATAATGATTATTACAGATAAGCCTTCACGTATAAAAAACAGTGAAATCAATGATCTATCTTCTTATATTTGACCATTTGAGAAACAAGATATACTATTAAAGATTAAAAAACAGATCTGATGAAACTTTCATTATTACGGTACTTAATAATTTTCAATACCAGTCAACAATAAGATACTCCAACTAGTGGAAATGAACTCTTTGACGCTGTCATAATACAGAACATAATAAGTAAGACGAACAAGTAGTTATACGTCAACTTATGCACTGGCCACAAATCACACAAGTTCTAGTTTAAAGAAATTAAGCTCATACCGATACGCGGAAAATGAGAAGCAACCACTAAGCGTAAAATGCTACGAAAGTATAAAGACACAACTTAGAATTTGATGATAGATTCATGCACTAACCATGCAAGCAAACGATACTGTACATTTAATTAAAGATTCTTGGATGAAGGAAGGATTGAAGTCTATAATGAAATGATTGGATGATAAACGCAAAAATCACTGAGTAATAATTAATTAACTAGACAGTTATCAGATCATGAAGATAATGTGCACATTAATCTAGACTAAAGATGTACATAGTTTGCTAAGCAAACAGTGATTAAGATGGCAATATTCAGGATCTTTATAGAGAACTATATCTAATCTAATAAGGTAGATTAAAGAACAACATAAGACAGTTCAATTCACAGCTGTAGGGTGTGAGATTGTTAGGAAATATAACCCAAAAGTTTACTTAAGATTATTGGAAAAGTTAATGAGATGTTGACTAAGTGAATTAACGGTTGAAAAGTATGAGCAAATGCTTAACGACTGACTAATTATCCGGCAATGTGAAATCATTTAAAACAAACCTGACTTACCACCTAGCTCGTCGAATTCGAGCCTTTAAATAGTTTGGTTCCAAAGAAATTGCATTATCACAATCGTTTAGGGCTTCATCGAAACGATCAAGCTACGTAGAAGTTGAAAAATTCACTGTAAAAACTTACGTAAAATAGAGCACAAGCACGGTTACAATACAATTTAGCGTTAATCATATCGTGTGAAGGATCCACTTCCAAGGCTTTTGTGTAGGCCTCAAGTGCTTGAGAATATTTGTGATCATGTATAAATGTGTTTCCTTCTTCTTTATATTTCAGAAGATTTTTGGCACGCTTGTACACTTTCTGAGTTTCTATGTGATCTGGATGAAGGCGTAGAACATGTTGAAAATGAACAATTGCTTTATCTAAATGATCCAAATAGTACAGGCACAGGCCTCGATAAAAGAGTAGATCAACTGATGACGAATGGGAATGCAATAAGTTTCTGTACTCAGAATATTAATTGCATTACAGAAACTTACTCAACTAAAATCTTGGCTTCACTGAATCGTTTTAATTGAATGAGGATGTTCAGCTTTTGTAAGTTGAAACTCAGTGAAGCTGGAGCTAATTCAATACACTTTGTGATTAAATGAAGAGCCTATCATAAATAAGTGTTAACATTATAGAGTAAATTATACGTGTCGGAAGTCAGATGTGGATAATTTATCTTCGTAAGATCGGTGAGTTTCTGATAGTAATTCAATTTTTTGCAGCTAAATAAATTCCGTTAGTAAACGCTCAGTGAGTCACTACCAATGACGAAAACTCCATATTAGTTGGTTCCAACTGTCTAACCATAGAACACAGACGTTTGGCTTCATTTAAATCACCCAAAATAAGACAACATTTTAAGCAACGTAGTATAGATTTTACATTCTGGGAATCTAAACTGATACTTCTATCAAGTAAGTAATTTATCTGAAATGAATGAAAACAAAACCTGCTAGCATCTTTATAAGCATCAAGAGGTTTATTAATCATCAGGTAAGCTGCGGAGCGGTTATTGTACAGAAACACATTGGTACTATCGATTTCTATGCCTTTTGTATACCATGCTATAGCTTCATTGTACATTCCTTGTTTATAACATGAGTTTCCTTGATTTTTGTATTCCTCGACCAACAACTGTTCGGACTCTGGCGACTCAACATCCATTAAAACTAAAAGACAAGAGGTAAAGACCTAATTAGAATGATGACATTACAAAACAGTATTATAGATCTGATGTGAAAATCCTTTCAGCTTACAATACGCACTACTAGAATGCAGTCCTTGCTAGTCTTTAAAAACAATGATAGTCATTAACTAAAGGCTCTAACAGCTAGAACTTTACAGAAAAATATTCATATGGGTGAAGTGATCAGTTGTAGGTAGTCTGAGAATATTCACCCACTAGTAACCCTCCATATATCAATTCAATAGTCTCCATTGAGGGGGAGAAACGCATCCCAAACACTCTGGCACTGTTGCTCAGTGCTACTAAAAGACTGCATTTTAACAGCGTCTTCACTAAACAGGACTATATTATCCGCGTATTCTAAGTCGATAAGTGGACCTCCTGGAAAGAGATCAATACCTGAGAATTCAGTCGACGAGAGCATTATTTCCAGCAATAGGTCAATGATGAGGTTAAACAAAAACGGAGACAGTCGACAGCCTTGACGGACATAACTTGAGGTTGCGAAATCAGACGACAGTTCGCCATAAGCTCTGACTCTACTGGTAGTGTTCGAGTAAAGAGCCTTCACAAGGTTTATGTACTTCTGAGGTACATCTTTCAATGACATACTCTGCCACAAAATCTCTTGGTCTACAGAGAGAGATCAAGAAAAACTATAATTGTCGGACGCCGATAAGCATGCCTGTAATTTAAAACGTGATGAATGGTGAATATGTGGTTGATGTAGCCACGATTAAGTCTGAAGCCAGCCTAATTTTAGCATCTAAAATACTAGCCTCAATAATTATTGGGTTCCTATTTTATTTATTTGAACACATAAATACTGGTACAAGGGGGAACCAGATACATATGTGCCACACAAATCTTTGATTTATGTGAGGGCTGTGATACTATCCGGGTGCCCAAACCGAAGCAGGTGGTTTTCTTAGGGGGCCACACCCCGAGCCTTCGACATAAAGGTCTGATACACAAAGCAGTGGAGCAACGTCAAAAGATGCAGTCCTAGGGTAGCCGGTGACCAACGATTGATTCACACACCATTTGTTCCCACAGGGTACTGGGGCCCATGTGCACCATTGGTTTGGAATCAGGGTTTTCCAACTCTCCTGGGTGAACTTTCCATGTCCACCAACCCGGTTAAAGCGCCGAACATTCACCCTCTCAATTCTGTAAACAACACCCGTGGTGCGAGAAGGCAGTGAGTAGGACTTCCGTGGCATAGGATATATACGCGTGGCCATGTGAGAGCATTTCGAGAGGAAGAGCGGACTCTCTTCACTCTCGGCCGTACCAGGGCATTTAGGGGCAAACTAACTAAGACTCGTGAACTGCAATCACGAGAAAATCAGGCTGGCTTCAGACTTGGTCACTAATAGATGGTGCAGCTGTTTCCACAGTTGTTTATATATCTTTCCAAGCAACATCTGGGTCAGCCTCGGTTTCACAATTGACTTAGTATGGCCTCAGTTGTTCCTGGAATTTAGCTTCGGCTTTCTCGTCACTGAGTTTAACTCTATTTGGTTTCTTAATGAGGCTTTTCTGTGACTGGTGAGGAGCAAGCAAATGCGTGCTCGTATTAGGGAAAGATCAAAGCATGCACCCCAGAACGAGCGGCAGTCTTCTATCGAGCTTCTCCAAGGATGACTGATGGCGATATGAACTATTTAAGTCCATCGTTGGTTTGGTGCAGGGAGTCTCTATGTTAGACGATGTATCTCCTTATGTTTAAAATTAGTTTGATAAAAACTAATGACTGTCCGTGCACAGTTGCAGCAGATGGTCACCATTATCTGTTCGCTGAACCGGAATACCAAAATACCCACCTACATGTTTCCCTGTACTTTTAGCATATTGTTGACTGTAAACTTTAACATGATTTCCCACTTTTTGTATCGTTCTATGTAGAAGAGTTTAAGCATATACGTACTGTGGATTTTCTGTGGTCAGAAAAGCCACTCAGCGGTAGCCTGAAGAGATTAACTTTAGATTGAGATTCTAGTTAACGCAAATGTGTTATTATTTCGCGAAATAGGTCACTCCAGAACGGAACTCTGAACTCTCCTAAAGCCCAATAATGTTGTCACTGCAATAGATAAGTTTAGCCTGATTGTGCAGATAAATGAAAAGATAACTTGAGTTTTTGACATCATACACATCAGATTGCTTTATCAATCCGTTCGTTTTTAAGTGTAGATATATTCAAGTGTCTCGTGGTTAAAAATTATATGTAGATTCTTGTGGGAAATTCACTCTTCACTTGAACTCATATTCACTAAATGATGATTTCAGAATTTTTGTACAAAAGTTAAGTACTGACAAACGGTCACATTTGATGCAGGATAAACATATATAGTATACAATGTGTATGAATATGGCTAAATTAGGCGTGTTAGTAATAAGGTTTTTTTATAAGTGCTAGGCCTTTTTCATGAATTTGCGAAAATATACTTGTCGTTTAGGGTGGAGAATGACTTTTGGGGGAGGGTACACTGCACCTTAAAGTTCGGTGTACATATTATATTATATGTACACTGAACAGTCCTCCAAAAACACCGTTTACGACATTCTGATTTAGCGAATATTAATAAAGACGTGCCTTGAGTTGAAGATGATTAATTGATCCAAATCAGTTACTACCGTATTATCTAACGAATATTTGGATACAAAACGGAGTCGGGAAAATTAACCCACCGTTCGTAAGCCCCGCTCTCTGTTAAAGTAAGATTGACCATTATTTAAGTGTTCAAATTAGTCGAACAGTAGTTTCCGAAGGTATTTCTGTAATTAATGCAGCGTCAGTGAGATTTAACTGAAAACTGGCCAAACTATCCGACACGTTGAGTTCATCCATGCCATAAAATAATAAATACAGAATGGCAACTGATTGATGAAACGCTGTCGAAGTTATGAGTAACTAAACAATTGTTTTCGTTTCAGTAAATGCTGAACTATAAAATGAATCTGCAAACATTAATTCACTCTACCTAATGTGTGGTTCTCTCTGGCAACATCTTTTTGACTCTCTAAGAATAGAAACTAAGGTTTTAGAATAACATACTAGACACTTGATACAGCTCTTCTAAAATTTATTTTTTGTCATTTATGAGGCAGTCTGGAAGAAGAAATGGTATTCAATAGTTTGTTATGAACATGTTCGCTTGAATTTCACTGCATGAAACATCTTGAAATAAATTGTTGTAGCATCGTCTTGCGTATTTCCTAACGTATGTGCGAAATTTTAATTATTGTACTTCTTTAACTCTTGGATTCATTTCGAACGCTGGAGTATGTTTTATTGCACCCACCTCAGCTGCTGATTGCCATTGTGTCTTGTGTAGAGTGCAAAAATACAATACTTGATCCTGCTAAACAGTCCACAAATATTCAAATTTTGACAACGCTTTTGTTTGTAACACTTTTGTAATCTTGGATCCTCAACCCAGTCAAACAGAAACCAGGAATGAAGGGATCCAAAGATACTTTCGGAAGCTTGTCGATTAGTCGACAAGCATATGATCTAAACTGACTAGTTTTTGGGAGGGATGTGTAGCATGGCGTTCTTAAATATGTCCAAAATATCCTATGTTTGGCGACGCTTTTGCCCGTAGCACCTTCGTAATCGAAAGATCCCAAACCCATTCGAACCATATGTCAAGAATGTGGGAGTTTGAAGACATATTTGGAGGAAAATCAATGTATCGGAAAACATTTGGTCTAAGCAGGCTTTTTAGGTATTCATATAAACCTCTGGTGTTTCCATGAGCTTTGGGTGTCACCAAGATCTCCGTTAATATCGTGAGAAATAACTATTTACTTTATTTTATCATCTTTAACGGTCAAAATTCTGTGGGATGTCCCTATGGTGAATTATTGTGCCGAATACTGGAATGACTGAGATGATTTATTGATGAATAACAACTGAGATCTAGTTTTCGCGTGAAAATTTAGTGTTTTTAAGCTCTCGTGGTGGGTTAAGGTTGTACTGCATAACTTTTGGCAGACACGTTTATTGTCAACTCGCAATTGAAGCACTACTCATGCGTTGATCCAGTACTCGGTATAATGGTGGAATTTGTGGACGGCATAGAATCTCAGATGAAGGTGATTGTGATTTTATTGTTAGTAACCATAATAAATGTATATTGTCACTACACGTTTTCATGCTGAGAAGCGACTTCCTGGTAACTGACACAGAGTCGTATATGAGGGGTCTTCGACATCGGTCAGATGTATAATATTTAGTTGAACGAATATCAAAATTAACTCCGTTTGTAGCTCTTATAAAGTTACTGACGGTCCCAAGACCGGGTAAAGGAGGAGGGTTAGGCATGGGGTTAGCGTCCTCATTCCGTAGAAAACTAACTCGCTGAAAAACGCTTACCAGAAAAACTAATCCAAACCATTTTAACTCTGCCCTGTGTGTTAGGTCTTCATTTAGAAGGATTATGACGCTTCATGGTGAAAGCCGAGTTCCTTCGGAAGCCACGAGGCCGACGCCCCTTCCAACAAGCAGAGCAAAAATGTTTATAGGTACATGGAGCGTTCGAACAGTGTGGGAAGCCGGGAAGACTAGTCAGATATCAATGGAAATGAGGAGATACAACTTAGCAGTACTGGGAATCAGCGAAACCCACTGAATCTAAACTGGACAAAAAAGGCTAACTACGGGAGAGATGCTGCTATACTCCAGTCACGAAGAGGACAATGCTCCACACACTCAGAGAGTCCCTCTAATGCTGTCCAAAATAGCACGAAATGCACTTGTAGGATGGGAATCTCACTGATCCAGAATCATTAAGGCATCATTCAAAACAAAGGAGGGGATCACAATGAATATTATCCAATATTATGCACCCACCAATGATAGCGACGACGACATTAAAGATCAATTCTACGAGCGGCTGCAGTCAATCATTGAGAAATGCCCAAGAAAGGACCTCACCATTCTAATGGGAGATCTAAATGCCAAAGTCGAAATAGACAACACCGGATATGAAGACATTATGGGACGACATGGACTGGGACAAAGAAATGAAAATGGAGAAAGATTTGCAAATCTGTGTGCACTCAACAGATTGGTCATAGGAGGCACAATATTTCCACACAAGCGTTTACACAAGGCTACACGGATCTCACCGGACCACACTACAGAGAACCAGATAGATCATATTTGCATCAACGAAAAATTCCAAAGGACAATGGAAGATGTGAGAACCAGGAGAGGTGCTGATATAGCTTCAGATCACCACCTAGTTGTGGCCAATTTAAAACTGAAGCTAAAAAAGAACTGGACAAGTGGACAAACAGCGCTACAAAGGTTCAATACAGCCTTCCGTCGAGATACTGACTAAATCAATGAATTCAAGATAGCTCTCAACAACAGGTTCCAAGCCTTACAAGATCTACTGAAAGAAGAAGAAACTACTATGGAGGACAACTGGAAATGCATGAAAGAAGCATTAACTTCAAAGTGTCAAGAGGTTCTGGGCCTAAAGAAACACCATCATAAGGAATGGATCTCTATAGAAAGAAGGAAGAACAAGAAGGCAGCAATTAACAACAGCCGAACACGAACAGAGGAAGTCCAAACACAAGCTGAATACACAGAAGCAAACAAGCAAGTGAAGAGTAGCATTAAAACCGACAAGAAGAAGTACGTGGAAGAATTAACAACGACGGCGGAAAAAGCTGCAAGAGAAGGAAATATGAAACAGCTTTACGATACAACGAAGAAATGATCAGGGAAATACAGTAAACCAGAGAGACCGGTCAAAGACAAAGAAGGCAAGCCAATCACTGAAATTCAACAACAGTGGAACAGATGGGTAGAGCAGTTTAAGGAACTACTGAATTAGTCGGCTCCAATGAATCCACCGGACATCGAAGCAGCACACACAGATCTTCCTATAGATGTCAATCCACCAACGATGGAAGAAATCAGAATGGCCATCAAACAAATCAAGAGCGGGAAAGCAGCAGGACCTGACAATGTATATCAGCTGAAGCTCTGAAGTTAGACATCGAATTAACTACAAACATGCCTCACCTCCTATTCAAAAAGATTTGGGAGCAGTAACAAGTGCTGATGGACTGGAAAGAAAGGAGATCTGAGTAAATGTGAAAACTCCAGAGGCATTACACTACTGTCAATACGAGGGACAGTCTTTAACAGAGTGTTGCTGAACCGGATGAAAGACGCAGTAGACGCTCAACTTCGATATCAACAAGCTGGATTCCGTAAGGATCAATCGTGCACAGACCAAATTGCACACTACGCATCATCGTCGAACAATCAGTTGAGTGGAACTCATCACTATACATCAACTTCATTGATTATGAAAAGGCACTTGACAGTGTAGACAGAAGAACGTTATGGAAACTTATTTGACACTACGGAGTTCCTGAGAAGATTGTCAATATTATCCGGAACTCATACGACGGACTACAGTGCAAGGTCGCGCATGGAGGACAGCTGACAGATGCATTCCATGTAAGGACCGGAGTCAGACATGGCTGTCTACTCTCTCCCTTTCACTTTCTTCTGGTGTTCGACTGGATTATGAAGACCTCGACATCTGAGGGAAAACACGGAATACAATGGACAGCTCAGAATCAATTAGACGATTTGAACTTCGCAGATGACTTAGCCCTCCTATCGCATACACACGAACAGATGCAGACAAAGACAGCCAGTGTAGCAGCAGCCTCTGCATCAGTAGGCCTCAACATACACAAGGGGAAAACCAAGTTCCTCAAATAAAACACGGAGAAAAGCAATCCAATCACTCTTGATGGCGAAACTCTGGAAGATGTAGAATCCTTCACATACCTGGGAAGCATCATCGATGAACAAGGAGGTTCAGATGCAGACGTAAACGTGAGGATTGGCAAAGCAAGGGTCGTATTCCTTCAATTGAAGAACATATGGAACTCAAAAGAACTTTCAACCAATATCAAAGTGAGAATCTTCAATACGAACGTCAAGGCAATTCTACTGTATGGAGCTGAAACTTGGAGAACTACAACAACCACAATCAAGAAAGTACAAGTATTTATAAATAGCTGTCTACGCAAGATACTCAACATCCACTGACCGGATACCATCAGCAACAGCCTTCTGTGGTACAGAACAAACCAGCTCCCAGCTGAAGAAGAAATCAGGAAAAGACGATGGAAATGGATAGGACATACATTGCACAAGTCGTCAAACTGCATCAGGAGACAAGCCTTAACTTTGAATCTTGAAGGGAAGCGGAAAAGTGAAAGGCCTAAGAACACATTACGTCGGATAATAGAAGCAGATATGAAAAGGATGAATAACAAGTGGAAAGAGCTGGAAAGGATCGCCCAGGACAGGTTTAGATGGAGAATGCTGGTGAGCGGCCTATGCTCCTTCACGAGGAGTAACAGGCGCAGGTAAGTAAGTAAGTAAGTAAGTAAGTAAGTAAGAATGTCGAAATTAATGAGACCCATAATTTACGTTCGCCGGTGCGCAAGCTGGTAATGAACACATACTCAGTGTTAAGTTCAGAAATGGAAACCCAAGATGGTTATGATCATCAATAAATGAACACCATTGTTGTCGAATATTGAAATTTATGAACATGGTTATGAGTGTGGACTCAGTTGAAGAAACCACAGTACGTTTTTACAGTTATTTATGTTCGGGAAAAAGTCGTTTTACAAATTCTAATAATTTAAGTCGCTATACAGTCGATGA